GAGATAGAGATAGATGTAGAGGGACTACAGAAGGAGCTGTGGGGGGGTAGAGGTACGGGTTAGGGTTAGGATAGGAGATGCTCTTTGAAGAGGTGGGTCTTCAAGAGTTTCTTGAAGACAGACAGGGACTCTGCTGTTCTTGTGGAGCTTGGCAGGTCGTTCCACCATCTTGGAACGACACATGCAAACAGTCTGGATTGTCTTAAGCGTGGTGAAGGCACTGCTAGACGACAATCCATTGATGACCGGAGTGATCGAGTTGTGACATAAGCCTTTGCAAGGGGATTCAAGTAGATGGGAGCCATACCCTTAAGCACTTTGTAGGCTAGCATCAGGGACTTGAATTTGATACGGGCAGCCAGAGGTAACCAGTGGAGTTCAATGAACAGAGGGGTGACGTGAGATTTCTTGGGCAGATTGAAGACCAGATGCGCCGCCGCGTTCTGGATCATTTGTAAAGGTTTTACTGTACAGGCCGGGAGACTAGTCAGGAGTGCGTTGCAATAGTCTAGGCGGGAGATGACCATAGACTGCACCAGGAGCTGGGTAGCATGTTGTGTTAGGTACGGCCGGATCTTTCTTATGTTTAGTAATGCGAAGCGACAGGATCGAGAAACAGAGGCAACGTGATCTTTAAAGGTCAGCTGGTCATCAATCATGACACCCAAGTTTCTTGCTGCCTTTGATGGAGTCAGAGAGAGGGATTCAGTTTGGATGTGAATATTGTGGTGAATAGTTGGTTTGGCTGGAAAGACAAGCAGTTCAGTTTTTGAGAGATTCAGCTGGAGGTGGTGGGCTTTCATCCATTTTGATATGTCAGAGAGACAGTCTGAGATGCGTGCTGAGACCGAGTGGTCATCAGGTGGGAATGACAGATAGAGCTGTGTATCATCAGCATAGCAGTGGTAGGAGAAACCATGTGATTGAATGATCTGGGCCAAGGGAGTGGTATATATAGCAAAGAGAAGAGGTCCAAGTACTGAACCTTGAGGAACCCCTGTGGCGAGGTGGTGCACTGCAGAAGTGTGACCAAGCCAGGATACTTTAAATGATCGACCAGTGAGGTACGATTCAAACCAGGAGTGTGCTCTCCCTGTGATGCCCATACTCGAGAGTATAGACAGAAGGATGTCATGATTGACTGTGTCAAATGCGGCTGATAAGTCAAGAAGGATAAGTACTGAGGACTTGGCATTTGCCCTTGCCTCTTTTAGGGCTTCTGTCACAGACAACAGAGCCGTTTCAGTGGAGTGGCCACTTTTAAACCCAGATTGATTTGTATCAAGGAGTTTGTTTTGTGAAAGGTAGTCTGTGACCTGCTTAAAGACTGCCCTTTCAATGGTCTTTGACAGAAATGGAAGCAGAGAAACCGGCCGATAGTTTTCCACCTGAGTTGGTGGGAGAGAGGGTTTTTTGAGCAGCGGTGTGACCAAAGCTTGCTTGTATGAGTTAGGAAATGTGCCAGATGTCAGCAAAGCATTGATCACATGTGTGACTGCTGCAGTAACTGTGGGAGCTATGGACTGGAGTAGGATATGAACAAATAAAAAAGTATACAGTTTCTACCACAGCTGTTTTACATACATACATACATACATACATACATACATACATACATACATAC